GCTCCGGGAAACCCGCGCTGTGCGCTGAAATCCGCCCGGCTTCTGCCCGAGCCGCCGCTGCCTTTGTCTTCTCTGATTCCTCTGTTTTAACGATCCTGTTGTGTAATGAAGTTTTACTTTATACGTGTTTGTTGTGTGAAAGGCCCATAGATAAAAGTATCATAGTGATTGCAAAGGGTAAAAAAGCCAGCCTAAATATTCAGAATTATTAAAATGGAAAGAAATTCTTCCTCTTCTCTCTTTGTTTTTACCGAGGTAAAAAAATTTCAGACGGGGATTGACTTTTTTGTTATTCTTTAAGTTGATAGCTTTGCCTTACATCTCTCTGAGGATCGTCAACCTGAACTTCACTGAATAGTGGAACTCCTTTTTTGTTGAAGAGCAACTAACGAAGCGTTTTCAAAAAAGTATAAAGTATGCATCCATTTTCTAAATTCTGCATTCTTTGTAGTTTAAAAAATGGCGACCTGCTTTTTAAAATTAAATTTTGGAGAAAGGTGTACCTTTTCACGTTACTATATTTGTTTTTAAAGCTAGACCAACCCTTGCCGCTTGGTTACATATACATCTGAAATAGCTTAAATGTATTCCATGTTTCACCATTCAGAAGTTATTGTGCTAGCAATAGTGGAAAAGCTAAGATTGTTGTTTCATTGTTTCTATTTACTGTTCTTGAATAGTTAATTAATTAATGGGCGTACTGTAAGCTTGATTCTAAAGCCTCATTTCCTAACAATATGCCATTGTGTAAAGAAAATTAAATGTGCTGGCCTGTGCTCAAACAGTCAAACTTACTTGAGTGAGTACTGACATAAAAATTTTGAACACTAGTTTGTTGCAGTTTCATAATTGTATAAAAGACAGCATCATGTAGCTGCTTCTCTCCAGGGCACATTTGAATGAGGAACTTTCTTCTAGTCAGTTTCTCATAGCTGAAATATCTGCTTTCCCAAGGCTGTCGAGAGGGAAGTGGCTCAAAGAAAGGGAAAACTGGAAGAAAGGCTTTGGTTTGTTTGTTTTTATTTTCTTTTCTTGTTAAATTGTGGCCTCTACCTCCTCCACCCTGCAGAGCAATTCATATGTTATTTAGTCCTTAGAGCCTCCATTTTCAACTTAAGACTGCAAGTGTGTATACACTATATACGTGATTTTATTGTTTCACTAATCCTGATGGGATTGTTTGCATATTCAAAGTTACTTGGCATACTGGCAGAGACTTAAAAAAAGTTATGTGATATCTAAAACTGTTATGAGATAACTATTTGTGTGTTGTAGGTTCATGACTTTATCTTTTCCTGAAATGATTTGAAGTGGTGTCTGCTCTTGATTTTATAACAAAGATGTATTTGCCTATCACAGTCAAGCAGGAGACTATACTGTGAAGAATTTTATATTGAAATCTCATCTTATTTTGGAAGTTTTTCTGGGTCTGTAGAGTAGTGGTCAACTAGGCAACAATTTCCTTTGAAACTTCCTATTTGGTCTGGACAGTTGAAACAATATATAAGGATGAGAAATTGGGGTTTTGTTTTTCTCGATGGTTGTCATCTTAGACTGCTAAAATCAACACTGTGTCTGTAGTGTGCTGTTAAATATTTAAGCAGTCCTCTTGCACACAGTTTTATTTTAGGATTGTGCTGACTTTTCTTCAGTATCGGGGTCAGATGATCTGCTTATAGGGAGCCTCTTCCATGGTGATGTGGGCATACCTGATTTCAGGTGATTATGACCTTTACTCTGCTTAGGTTTATGCACCCATTTAATTTACTCCAGTTCAAAATTTTTGTTAAATTGAAATAAACCTCTCAAAGTGTGCAGAATGGAGCATATGTAGGCCTGAGTAGGATGTTAATACTGTGTGTGTGTGTGTATAGATACATTTATGGGTGTATATACAAATAGACACTCTATTCCTATATCTTTATACTGTGTTTTTGTATATAAATAATATACATGTGAGTTCACATGCATAAATGCTCTCTTGTTTTTAATTTTGGAAGAGAGTATAATTGTATTGATGATGTAATGTACATGACGTGTAAAACGGAATGAGCGAAGTGTGGCTTTTCCTCTCTTCCATGAGAGACATTCCTTCAGAAGTTTTATCCTGACATAACTGTAAAGAAACTTCCTCTACAAATCCAAAGATGAAATGGTACATACCGATTTCTGGCATAAATTCAAACACATTTCAATCTGTTAAGAAGTGTTCTGAAGACAACAAAATTTGATTCCTTTGCGTTTGTGTGTTTTGCTTGTCTTGCTTAGAACCAGTGACATAAAAACTTTGAGGCTTGTCAACGTGGGATTATTTTTTCTTCAGTTAAAATGGATCTTTAGCATTTAAATAATGATGTAGTTGACAAGAAATGAGGATCAACTTTAAAATATCTGCCAGTGTTTGACTTGTAGGCTGGCGTCCCACAAGAACAGTGGGAGGATATTGTAAAATAGAATCTTTGTTTTCTGAAGACAATTAGTGTGAATTATTGCCCTTTTTGTGTTAGCTGCCCACAGTAAAACCACTTCTCCAGGACAAAAGTGTAATGCAAAGTGCACTTTAACTGTATGGAATTACGATGTTACCAGAGACTTTTGATTCTAAAAAGACAAAGAAAGTAATCTTTATGCAACTTTTTAATACAAATTCATGCAAGTTTAATTTGAAGGAGATATTATTTGTGTTTTGTGTTTCTTGAATTTCTTTTTCATCGTTATAGCTCACATATAATGAATTGGGGTACTGTAGTGGCATTGCCAAGTTTTGGAAACTTTGACTTCTCAAGTAAATATGACCATAGATAGTGAATAAGATCATATGTTGGCTTAGACCTTCAGTGCTTGAAGACTTAGAAGTTATCAGCAATGCAAAAATCATAAATACAAGAAAAAAAATGTGATCAGAAACAGAGGAAATAAAATTTGAGCTGCATAGGCTGTATAGTTCAGACTGATTTATTAAAGTGGTGTTGTGGATGGTTTTCAGTGGTTTGAATAATTTTGCAATTTTACAGTGGGAAAAAAGAAGTAATAAGCAGAGAGGCTATTTTGGGAAAGGGAAAGGACAAAAAGAAAAGTAGTTGATTCAAGGAGCATACTGCAATTGGAATACTGTGCCCAGATTCATCTTTATGTAAGGTTATCTAGTGTTAAATTAGAATTGCTACAAATCTAATAAAAAACCATTTTAAGAGGATTCCTGAGAATTGAACCAAACACATTCAGGAGCAGGTATGCATTCACTTTTGCTTCTAGTTGTCATTATAAGGAAAATCTAACTTATTTATAAATAAATAAAAAAGGAAAACAAAAATTAACTCAGTTTTGTTTTCTCAGGCTGGAATCTCTTGTGGCCTGAGCAGAAAAAGAATAAAACCTCTTCCAAAGGTTGATGTGAAAATATATTTATCTTTTTCTGCAATGTTTTTAAGCAGTCGTGGAAGACTTGGGAGGTTTGTTTGTATGAATGATGGGGGATTTGTTTGTTTGTGGGTGTTTTTGTTTGGGTGGGCTTTTTTGTTTGTTTTCCCCCAAACCTACACATTCTCCTAAAATAAACATAAGCCGGGTGGTAATGAGATCAATTCCCTTAGAGTCGATGGGGACTCAGTGTACATGAGGTGCTACGGAGATCTTTCCTTCAGGATAAACAGAGAAACTGACAGGTTTTTGCCATGCTGACCAAGAGTCATATATCTTCATCCAAACATACTAATATAAACATTTTATGTATTCACAACAATGTTGTCTGTGTTCTAGAAAAGTTATTCCAGGTGTGGTGTTTATTTGTGGTAGTTAAATTCTCATGGTGTCTTTACTGGTGTACACTGGTAACAAAGTGTTAATTTTTTTTTTTCCATGAAGTGAGTTTTTCTCAGCACCCAATGTTTTCCTCTGCCTGTGTTGTGGAAGTATCAAGTTGTTAAACTGAATTTAAAAATGCAAGGTGCCTTGTTACTGTGCACATAAACATCTTCCAAACTCAAGGGAGACTTTTGATGTTCAGAGTTTAATCCTTTATTGACTTTACATTTATTTTTCTCCACCCTGAAAACTGTAAGTTGCTGTATATAACATCAGTTTGTAGCTTAGTTATAGTTACTTTTGAACCATATCTGAGAAGATGCTAGTAAAATATAACTTCAGTGAAAGGGAGTCAGTCTGAATTACTTTAAAGGAACTGGAGTTTTTAAGAAATGTTAACTCTGTTATGTAATCCATCATGCATCCAGATAAGGAAAATGGGTTTAATACCACAAACTGTGTAGAGCATTTGAGAACTTCCTAGCTAATGATTAAAGACTATTGAATGCATTGTCATAGGATAAAAAATAAGATGTAGCTTTGGATAGAGGACAGCATTGTAACCAAAGCACTTCACATCTTAATTTTTAAAGGAATTACAGAAGGAATGTGTTGATCTTGGGTTACTGATGCTGCTGGGGAAAGCACTGATGCTTTCCCCAGGAAATACATAATTTCCATAATGATTTAAAGGAAGTAGAAGATGAATAGGCATTTCAGATACTTCTCTCACTGCTGGTGAGATTCAGCTCTGTTGCTGGAGAAAGGATGGAATTTATTGAATGAAGTTGCAACATTTCCCAGACAGAGGTGCCATGTGGAAATAGTATGGCATGTGCTTAATGAATTTGAAATACCCAAGGTCTGACTGTTCCATAGAAGACTTACTGAGTGGAAACCACATCATGACCTGAGAATGCACAGAAAGCCTAGGTGTCCTGAAAGTGTGGTGGGTTTATGAGATCTCTGCTGTGGCTCGTGGGAAACACCCTGGCATGTGTCAAATCCCTGTAAGGATTAGCTTGGACTTTGACTATAGGTGTTTTCCTGTCATTTCTGGAAATCTTTCACAGACATATGAAATTAACTTGTTCTTCTATCTAGATTTTCTTTTCCCTCCTCTGTGTTTGGAGAAATCTGCCTGTATGGTTACCATATGTTCATACTGTGTTTACTTGCAAGGAAACAAACACGCTTAGTGAAATCTGCATATTGTTACTTTTGGAGTCTTAATTTTACTGTATTTTAGTATATGAAACTATTTCAGTTAAAAACTTCTGCCAAATATGTGTTTGCTTTTTTTTTTTTAGTGATTATGCTAGCAATTATTTTTAAGATACAAAAATGTAAAATTAAAAATTAGAGTAGAGACAATTCTCAGTCTCAATGTACTCAGTGTATATCTCAAGCTACCTGTGATAAGCACATGCATTGTTTGTAATTGCAGTTGTGTAGGTCATCTCTGGCTTCTTGACTGGTTGACATCAGACATGTTTATGTTGACGTTATGTAATCTGGTGGTGGTTACATAGTTGCAATCAAGTATATAATTAAAATGTCTATTTCAAGTGTTTATCTGAAGTGCAGGTGAACTGTCCTCTAAAATAGTT